CCTCGCGTTCAAAATTTTCAACCTGACGTGCTTCACGTGGAAAACCTTCAAGGAAGAAAGCTTTTGCATTTTGATGCTTACTCATTTCAGCCTTCACAAGTCCAAGCGCTAAATTATTTGGTATCAATTCACCTAAAATATAACCAAAATATTTATACAAATAACTTTATTTTTTCCCATTTTAACAGTCAAAGTGCAGGTTTTCAAGAAATTTTGAAAATTTATTAGTCATCAAAGATGATACACAAAGAACTCAATTATCATACTCATACAACTTTAAAAATCGATCAGTTTCATATGAATCGAAAGATTTTTGAAAACTAATCAACTCTGAAATGAGTAGTAGATATGCGAATCCACATACAGGTATGCGCAATATATATTATTATTATAATACTTATTAAAGTAGGGTAGCTAAAAAGTTTTAAGAATACCAAAATGAACCTCGTTGATATCGTTCTGCTGCTTCCTTCCATTCTAAATCAGTGTTCTGATATTTCAAGATTGCTCCACGGATCATATCGGGCATGCAGATATGCACAAGACCAAATTTACGTAAAGCTTCTTGCACTCGAGCTGCATGTCGTGTTTTGCCACCTCCTGGACCGCCTGCATAGAAAGGAAATACTTTAGTACTAATTTTTAAATATCAAATTTTAGTTACTAACATTTGAAAAAAAGTTTTTATACTCAAAAAAATTTTTATGCTCATTACTTTTTTTGCTTAGCGTAACAATATTATTGTATAAAGATTTTTAGATATCATTGCAACTGTTATACGAATAGTTTTGTTTGGAATTATCTGGTAAAAGTTAATTCTGAATTTAAGAGAAGAATGAACTGTAAACATCCAACATTACTCAGTAGCAGTATTCTAAAATGCCAAAATGAGTGGAAAATATCATCATAACTTATCACAGAATTTGCTTAGTTTAATGTAAAAATTATTTTTTTATACATCTAATTGAAGTTTGATTAAATTAATATAAAATTATTCGGATTATTGGAAGTAAGCAAAGAATTATAGGAAAGAAAAAAGCTGAAAATACCCATAAATAAAATGATTGGTACATCCGGTATTGATGCCACTTCAGCAGCTTGCATAACGGATGATGGTCGAAGTGAAGATTTATTGCTGGTAGCAACAGTAGAAGAAGCGGCTGATCTATTATGGCTAACTCTGAAGTAATAAGCTTGCGATGATTGCGCACATCTTTTAAAGTCAATTGGAGTATTAGTCGAGAATGGACTATGAAGAAATGTTTGATTCATAAAAGCTAATTTAATTTCACTGGCGATAAAAAAGAATGATAGCAGAATGTTTGAGGGGGTTCAGTGAAATTATTAAAAAAAGTGTCTGAAATGGAAAGAAAGTGAAATAAAGCTTTTGTAGAACCGATAGATTATAAAAATTGAGAAAGACTGCGCGATATTTATTTAGAATCAAAATCGTGGAAAAAAAAAGTTAAGCGAAAAATATGCGAGGTAGATTTAAAGCAAACAAAAGCAAAAATTATGAAAAATTTATAATTAATGATGATAGATTATGATGATAATGAAGCGAAAATGTTCTTGCAGAAGAGATTTTAAAAAGTAATAGGAGAAAAATCTGTGCATACAAAAAGTATTACAATTCTATTGTTGTGATCTTTTGTTGTGAACAGTTCAAGAAGAATAGAAATTATATAGGAAATATGCAGAAAAGAAAAAAAGATTTTTAATTTCAATTTCTTCACCGACAAAAAAAAATGGGACTGCAGAGTTGCACAGCGAAGTGCCGATGGTTCATCAGATCATCGTCTGATATTTGATCTTCCAAATTTCAATTATCTTCCGGTGGAATTTGAAAGAGGGCAAACCTTTTAGCTTGTTTAACACCTGGCGTACGAGTCCTTGATTTTACGCTTTTCTTTGCTTTCTCAGGCTTTTCAGCTGGTGCAGCTTTTAGGCCTAAAAAATAAACTTCAAATTTTTTAATCCGTCTTAAATTTTTAATCCTCTAACTTTTACTAGATTGATGATAACTGAAAGTGTATCCATTTCTTAATTAGCTTCAACAGAATTACACATACATTTTCTAACTATAGTTTGCAATTTTTTAAATTATAACATCGACACGTATTTCTCAAAAAAAAAAAAAAAAACAAGAATCACAGATTGTAAAATGGAATACCACTAAATTATGCAAAGAAAATCAAGAATCACTAAATTATGCAAAATCAGAAATTATGCAAAGGAAATATTCATTTTAAATTAGTTTCATAGTGAATTCATTATTTGAATTAAAGATATTCTTGCAATTTAACTTATTTTTTAAAAAAAATCTTTTGCGAAACAGATTTGTTCCTATTGATTAATATTCGTGCATCAAAAGTTAAATTTGTTTTTGACAAAAAAATCTTTTTTTCAATAAAATTAAGAAATATTCAGAATTTCAGAAGATATTAATAATGCACAGCAATTTTATTTTACATTGAGCATGATTAATAATGTAACAAGAAAGCCTAGCAGTTGTTATACTTTCGACCAAATTTTCATTTAACAAATGTAACAGTTTTTACAGCTTTTGAAATAAAAATAAGTTTTGTAGGATTTGAAATAAGTGAATTGGGGTAAACCGGGTGATTCGGTATTGTCGATGATTTGTTTCTAGAAGAAGTTTGATAAAATTTATCGAGAAATTTTGATGGAAATTTAGATGATAAGAGGTGTAAATTGGAAGATGTGCGATGCATTAAATTGGCATACGAGTTGTAAACAGATTGTACATGGTATTTGATACAATTTATTGATTGATTGAAAATTATTCCTTGTGAGAGTAATTGGAAGGTAAACATAAATAGAATAAATGATCGAAATGAAAAGAAAAAGAGAATAGCGATAACTGAGACGGATCATATACATTTCAGAAAATGAGAAGTTCTTATAAAGTTGCTTTGCTTGTTGAGTCATGCGTAAATGATATGCAAAAAAATAGAAAAGTAAGAGAGCAATTTAGTATATTTAAATTAATATCTGTAGTTCTCTCTTTCTTTCTCTCTCTGAGGCTAAGCGCATTTGTCACACTTTCAAATTTTTTTCTTTCCTCATTAGACAAAAAAAATAACTGTGTTTTTCACTTTTTATTTATGCACATTGCTTTGATATGTTTAATTTCTGTTGAGGACATGCGAAATTACTTTTGATTTTGTAGTTTATAACAAATCTGAAGACATCAAGTTTGGGCTTTTGGCCGGATACACAGTTTAGTGACATTGATGGATTAGGCTCTCAATTTTAGGCTTCTGGTTAAGCTATTATCAAAGAAGTATTATTTCTTTAGTTCACATTTTTTTAAGGAAATATGTGAAGCGGTAGGAGTTTCATAGTTTTTTATTCGACAAATCAACTGACCAAGCTTGACTGATTCATTATATTCTCGAAGCACTTCTTCATTAACAAATGAATCCCATTTGTATTCGAAACTTGGATTTTGGCGTATTTTATTGAGGGAATTCTCCAGGAATCCAATCGGATCTTCTGGTTTGTTGCAAATCAATCCGGTTATCAAACTCTGCAATTCCCAAAAAAAAAAAAACTATTTAAGATATAATTTGATAAATTTTTGAGAAATTCCATCACTAAAAAACATTTGGTTGAAATGGAAGGAATGTAAGCAATATGCTAAACATTAAAATTAATAATCAATAATTTCTGAATTTTCAAAGTTGATATTTGGAAACAAAAATTGAGATCAAAGGTGTATAAATATACTCTTATAATTAAAGTTTCAAAGAATTCTTTTTGATCTTCTTGGAGTCCGATTGCTTAGTTCTAAATTATTTATAAGGGTGAAATAAACAAACCTACGTTTGAAAAATTAAATCCAAAATTAGCCATTATGTTTCATTGGGGTCATTGAACCCATGTCCTAATGGGCTGAGCTACTGATGGCTAGTAGCGCTAAGTTATCTGTGGGAAATTTTCTAAATTTGAAAATTTTGATAGGAAACGTCATTATCAGGGATAGCTGTACTAAAGAGATCCCGGATAAAAAAAGGAAATAATTGTTTTTTTTTTCCTGATGACTTCACTTCTTTAAATTTTCTTCGAGGAAATAGCTAATTTTTGGTCTCTACACTTTCAAAATATTTGACGCATTTTTTAAAATTTCTTTGTATAACAAACAGTTGTCTCATAACATTTCTGCCATTTCTTTTCGCAACATTGATCGCTACATAGATTCGGTTTCCCCATATAAGTCCGATTTTTCTATTCTTTCCTGGCTATGTAATAACAATTCGGAACATCCAACTGGACAATAAATTTCGAAAGATTTTAAAGAAGTGAAGTCATTAGAAAAAAATAATTTTAACAGTAAGATATTTAACAAAAAAAAAAAGAATTTATATTCCATTTAACTTTGAAAATCATTAAAATATGCGTACAAATTTGTTCTTATTCAAAGAAGGCAATATTTAAATCAAAATATGATGATTATGCTCTCAATGAAAGTTTCATTTAAATTTCACAGATATATTATATCTATAAGCATAATTCTATATGGATCGCATAAATGTCTAAAGCAATCATAAATGACCAATGATCAGAAAAAACAAATCATGGGAGTAATTTCTAAGCCAAAGCTAAACCTGAAGTAAATAATACTTCAGATCTTAATGTGACTTTACTGAATCAGTTTTTAGATTTTGTTCAAAGTTTCCATATGAATGAGACCAAAATATTGTAATCGGTCAATGTTTATAAAAAGTGATAGCAGTTTCAGGAAAATTTTACAAAATCCAAAATTAACTGAATTTTTTAGCAGTATTTCAAAAAAGAATAATAGCATGAATATGAAAGAATTCGAAATGGTTGACTTAGAAGACCACAAAGAGAAATTGAAGGAAAATAAAATGAAGTGGGAAAAATTTTATCCTAACTGGACTGAATAAAAGAATGATTTGGAAGAACATATATTTTTAAAGGTTTCCTGGTTTACATCAATCATTTCTGTTCACCCATTTCATTAAGTTAACACAACAAATTTCAGCTGAATTGAGTTCTTGCAGTATTGCTTTATTGGCTTAATAGCCAATAAAGCAGTACTGCAAGAAAGGAAACAGTCGATTGCAAGAAATTTTTGGAATTATCAATAATTTTTTTGATGAAACAAAAAGTCAGCCAAATGATTAAACAGCCAAAAACTAACAGAATTTCTATATGTTTAGCAGCAAAATATTTCTTATAACTTCTATAAGCTTTTTTATGACAATTTTGACTTTCCTAATAATACTGATTGACCTTCTTAGTCACTACATGTCCTCTCAATTATTGATGACAATAGTGATTGACCATTTTAGCCACTATATCTTCTTCACTTGTTAATATTAATTGTAAAAGTTAATATCCGTGACCTTGTCATCCACTATGTGTCTTTTCATCTGTTAATATTGATTTTAAAAATTAATATATATGCAAAAAAGTTATATAACTGTAATGAACCCTAACAAAATTAAATCAGAAAGCTAAATTGCTTAACATAAATATCTATTGGATATAAAATGTTGAAAATGACCATATTTCACCCTTTATTCTCTTTTCACTTCTCCATTCTTGTTTTTACTTAAGTACTTAATAACTGAACATTGATTTAATTCATTTAATTCACTTTATGCTACTTTCAGTCTCTTTTAAACTCTAAGATCACTAAAAAGCGAAGTATTATTGAACATTGTAGAAATTGTTGTATGAAGCAAATATTTCTGCAACTTAAAATTATTACTGATCTTATCAATACAACATGTCATTGAGGTTTCTTTCCAATGATATTCAATCATCGAAAAAAAAAAACAGTAATTTCCAGTATTATTAGGAAATTTTAAATGATTTTGTTTTGTGAATATCTTATAGTTACACACAATTTATAAATTTAATAAATTCATATATAATTAAAAATGAAAAAAAAGAACCTCAAAGAGTTGCGGTATAGCGTGTTCTTGAAGATAACTTTTAGTTTCTGCACCCATCAATCCTTCTCTCACGTTTAAATCCAAAATTCTGCTGAACGAGTTTCTGTTTAACCAGTATGGAAATTATTTTAAATATTAGTCTTATTTCTTTTGTGAACAGTATCGGTTGATTAATTAATTGAAAATTCTGAAAATACGTACACGTAACACACATATAAGTACATTTCTTGGAAATAAATCATATATGCTACTTACCTGTATTGTATACAAAGATTTCAAAGAAACTTCAATTATTGAAGGCATTAATGGAGATTTTACCATTGTAAAAATTACTTTTTCAAATGTAATCAAAAAAGTTGCCACAAAACACAAATCACTTCGTTATCTTTCTTTCAATGTTGTATCCAACCTCCGACCCCTTTATTATCATTTGAATTATGCATTAATGATTGCATATGTACTTTTTGGATGGTAAATTAAGAATTTCTGCTCGTCTCATTTTGATACGCAAAAAGATAAAAGAGAAGTTCATAAATTTGTCAAAAGTTTCCAAATTTTTCGCCTTTTTTTGCGCTGCCTAACATGAAAAACTAAAAATTTTAATTTATTTAGATATTAACAATTAGTCTAATCATTTTAAAATATTGAATATGTACTTTATTATTTTAGGGTACTTAAGTAACGATTTTTTTTGGATCTTTCTTAGACCAGGAATAGACTTTTCTAGTTTCGAACTTATAGGGGTAAATATATATATATATATATACGTATAGAACAATAAAAAATCTGTAAGGCAAACTTTCAGCTTTTCTCTAAAAAAATCGGAAATGTGTTATTTTCCTGCCATCACATTAATAAACGAGAAATTATTCTCATAATATTTCTGGCAAATATTTCATATTTGCAGAATTTTAAATTTTCAATTACGATATAGTTAGCTTTCGTCTTTTCTTTCTCATTCAAATAAACCATTTATTCTTTTGCAAAAGGAATGGGATATTAATAATTTTACATCTCTTAAAGAGAAGAAAAATGTTATAATATCTCTATTTTAAAATTTTCCATCTATCGTCATGACAACAGCATGCTGCAGTAACAATATCCAAAATGCAACAGATAAATTATAAGGCACTTTTCAGGATATATGTCAGCCCAAATTTCATTTTTTTTAGCTTTTTAGGCATTTTATTGAAAAGTGCATACCAAATACTGATTGATAGGAATTTAATTGTTTAAACTAGAAAAAAATGCAATTTATAATATCATCGAGTATGCTGACGTTTTATTTTAATATTATTTCGCATATAGAGAAGAAAAGAATGAATCGATCAATTAAGATAATAATAGGAATATAAATTAAGGCACGAATTTCTAGGACATGAAAGAAAAAAATCTTTAAAAAAAAATATAATGGTCACTATTTTTCATTTTGCCTATCTTCTTCCCTAAAAACTTCCTAATATTTTGATAACACAACACCTTTCTCTTCCATTTCTTTTATTAAAAGTGTAAATAAACATAAATGATGATAATCGATAAAAAACCTAAAATTTATAAAGTAATATATTATAAAACAATCATTCTACCATTTTTGTCATTAGTTAGCTTCTACTTATGAATATATTATTTGAAGGGATGAGAAGTTGGTTGTTGGCTTATTTGAAGACTTACATTGATTAATAAAATGCTTTCTTTAAATTTATTACATAATGGTTGAGCTTCTCATTCTCTTATATTTTAAATCAGCTTTGGTTGCTATGACAATTCCTTTAAATTGATTGGATTTCAAATAGCAAATATTAACTAATGCAATTCATACATATTAATTGATCAAAATATGAATAAACAACATATAATGCGCAAGAAATGCTAACAAATAATTTTGTTCTTATTTGTACTGTCAGTTATCGTTCATACATTTTGTTTTTTTTTTTTTTTTTTTGTTTTAATAATTCAAGCAGAATGATATATTTCTTCCTTTTTCTGAAAACAAATTTGTAGCAAAAAATTTAAATATCAAATGATATCTTAATTAAAAATTGGCTATCTATGATTTCATGTCAATCTCTAAAAATATAAATTATTTGTTAAATGAAAAGTTGCCAGTATTGATGTAAGAAATTTATAGATCACATCTTTTCATCTTTCTTCAAGCAATTTAAAAAAAACTCGTTAAGTTTAAAATATTAATAATATTCGTAAATTCTTGCAATGGTCATAATATGCAAGTAAGAAATTGCTTATTTAGGTAATTTTTTTAAAAAACAAAAACAACTATAATCAAAGTGAATACACTAAATTGGTATAATGTAATCATTATTAATTTATTTATTGATAATATAAATCATTTACGGAATTTATTACTTGACGTATCTGTCACTAAATTTCGTGAATTTTCAAGGCTGTAATTAAAAAAATTTTGACAGATAGAAGTCAACTGAACGAGTCTTTTAAACTTCACTATTTAAAATTCACGATTAATATTAAATTTTTGTCTTTTATTTTTTTTTTTTTGAAAGCCAGAATATATTTATAATATTTGTGCAATCATGCATTAAAATTGGCGTCAGATGGAATGTAATCGATTAATTGATAATCGAAATAAATGCAGCCATTTGTAATAGTAACAGTACGACCTTCCGCTTTGGCTTTTCGTATTCTTGCTTCCAAAGTCGGCAATTCCATACCTGGTGGAGCCTTGGCCAGAGCTTTTGCTTGTTGTGTCATCATTACTACACCCATCCTGACACCATATCTGTAAAGTTAAAGTTTGTAAATGCATTTCATCATATTTACTATAAATTTTACATTCAAAATAATTTTAAACTTCTGAAATATTGTATTTTCTAATTTGTAAATTCTTTTTGCCGATAACTTTTCTACATGAAAGTAATTGCTTATGGATTATAGTACTCAATAAAATTAAACATATTTTCTTTCGAAAAAAATGTTGTACTTTCCATAGCGTATTTTCATTTTTCATCAATTTGTGAAAATTTTATTGATTTCAACTCTTAGTTTAATTCTCTTTGCGTCCCTTAATAGGTTAAGCTGTAACAATCATCCTGCAATTTCGCTTTTTTTGAAGAGTAAGCAAAGAGAGAAAAATAAAAAAATAAAATTCGTTATCCTCTTCAATGAAATTTTGATGCTTATACAAATGGAGCAAATAAAATATCAAAGTGTTCGTTTGATATTGTTGAATGCATTTATCTACTTTTATTCGACATCAAATATTTAAAATTGAATGCAGAAGATCAGATATTTATTGCTAATTGCATTCATGAATAAAGTATTTTAAAATATTGGAGTTTTCAAAATTTACGAATTATTTAAAAATATGCATATTAGATTAGGTTGGAACCGAAAATATTGAAATGATTAAATATCACCATTGATAATAAGTAAACTGTAATAGATTCAAAACATCTTGGTAATGTTTAGATGAAAAGTATTTAATGAAATTTGATAATTTTCCAAAAAATTCCCTGCTTAATTTCATTCATTCGTTTTGATTTTAAAAAAAAATGATAAGTTCAAATTTTGAATAATCGACTGATATCAAACTATTAGAAATATTAAATCCTATAATTGTCAATTATTGGAAAAAATTTTCGAATCAAAAATTTGGTTAACTTTTAATTTTCCTACGCTTATCTCCTTCAAAATTTACCCATTATGAAACTTGAAAGCGATTGATTCCTTAATTAATTAAAGTGAATAAAAAAGCTCCTTCAAAAAGAAACTACTTTCTCTTCATTCATATTTCTATAATAAAATTTACTTTTTTGCAAACCTTTTGAAACGCAAGACTTATTATTGGTCTTTTCTAAAATTGAGTAAGAAAAAATTTGTTAACAACCGAAAAAGGTCATAATGCTTCTAATACTTTTCTTTCTAATTACCATTCCTATTTTCTTCATACACCTAACGATTCGAGTGAGAAAACAATAACTTGATAACACTATCAATAATATATTAGGCTATTAATTGCTGCATTGGAATGAAAATTAACAACGAATTTTGATGAATTTAACTAGCAAATAATTGACGAAATATGAATAAATGGTAAAATTGCTAGAGAATGAGGAGAGATGAAAGTATATTTTGATATTAAATAATAGAACAAAAAATATTACATATTTTTTTCCAAATACTTCTAAACATATTTTAATTCAATTCGATTTAACGACAAGAATTCTTATATTTGGATGTATAAAAACATACGGTGAATTTCGCCGTAAATTATGATAAATTGATTGCTGTTGCTGATTGCAAGGTTGTAAGTAATCGAATTGTTCCGTTTGCTGTTGGTCATCTACCGAACAGCATAAGCCCATTTAATCGGGATCAATTTTAGAAATGAAATTGAAAAACAGAGAATTATTGCAACTGTCCTAACAGATTATCATGGCTTTGAATAAAAATAATTGCCACGTGTCAAGTGTTAAAGGAAGTTGAAGACAGTGGCAAAGTCAATCGGTCCATCAAATTATCAAGAATGAATTACAGCAACCCCAATTCCAAATTAAGTTAGAGCGAAGATGCCGCCTTCCATCTGTATTGATCATCACAGCTTTGCTTCTCCTGGGAATTACTTAAATCTAATCCAGGCTTTTTGAAGCGATAAAGCATTAAATTGAACTTCTCGATTGGAAGATGCTCACAACACGAGCACACAAATAATGAACAAAAGAAAATCGAACAGACACAAAGGAAATTCTTTTAAGCCTCCATTTAGCCATACCTACCTTAACGACACGAATGGCTTAAATGTTTTAGTTTTTTTTTTTTTGATGTAAGAAAAAATCAATATATGAGATATTTTTAAAACAAATGAAAAAGAATAATTTTATATGAGAAATTTAACCGCATGAAACATTCTTGAAATTTCACTAATCGATTTCAAATTGCTCATTAAATATTGTTTCTCTAACCTATGATGATTCAGAATGATTGATAATTGAAGAAATAAAAAAGGCGTTGCTTCTTGCTCACTTATTTGGTGCAAATTTTCCGAACATCGAAATCAAGATTTTTGAAATTCTACTTAGTGAATAAATTTAAATGTAATAGTTTGACGGCTTTTCGAAATGAAAACGTGAATGTTCGACCGATCAGGCTAGAAATCATTCCAGCAGATCCAAATCACATCAACTAACTCATTCAATTTTTCAAATGATTTGTCAGAATAATTGCTTTCCTTCCTCTTCCTAAACCAAATCATTTTTTCTATTTCAGCAACTATACATTCTTTAAATTCCTTCGCTCAACTTTCTTTAAATATTCAGTCAACTAACATTCAATGAATTTTTCTCAATTTTGATATTAATCGTTCGATATTCATTTTTTTTTCTTTATTTCGTTGCAATCGTTTCAGATTATTTACTTCCGATTCTAAAATTAGTTTATTCAAGACAGAAAAAACTAAAAAAAAAAAACAATCAGTTCTGGAATTTAATTTTTTAACTGCTCACGCTACTGTCATTTTCCCTTCTTCAAATTTGCTTCAAAAATAAATTTAGGAAAGATGGAACGGAGCTGACTGTTCAAATTATAGTAATAATTCAAATTCAATTGCTTATTTTGATAAACTTTTTGAAAGATGGAAACAGCCATGATCAGTGATTGAATACACTAAATTAATCAGTATAAGTATGAGTTTTTCCTTTTTGATCTTCTCATCTCGGTAAAATTGATCACTATAATATCTTTATTCGTATTTCATTCGTTTGATAAATTTACAAATGACCGAAATCCGATCATTCGTTTCAACAATTTTCTCCTCCCATTTATTCGATGAAAAGAGAATAAAATATTGTCAATTGCAAATTAAATATTTGAATTAAGATTTGCAATCACACTATTTTACTAAGTAATTGCGTATTTTTGAAGGATTTAGCGTTTCAGAAGAAGGCCGCGCAATATACTGGCACTGTAAATTGGTTTTCAAAAACTTTGTTGCTGTTGATTTTTGTACTTGTCCCTGAAGTTACTCTTTTTTACAGGAGATATGTTAAATCGCCGACGTCGACATCAAACGCCAACGTTCCTGGAAGGTACACCGGGTAGATACCTAAGGAGAGAGGCACCCCCGTCTCTGCCAACTTGCGATGGTCAGTTTCTCTACTTGTTTTCTCTTTTTGTCATTTTTCTCCTTCAAAAATCTGTTAAATCATTAGGCAGAAGAATATCAGTAATCACTGCGAAGAGTTCCAAGAAGCCTTAGGATGTTGAAACAATATACTTTGCGATAAATTAGTTTTTATTTTATTTCATTCAGAATAGTGACCTCACAGTTCTTTACTTTCCCTCATTTTCTTAGATTTAGATGACAAATTCTTCGAAACAACCATACTTTAGGCGTAATTCAAAGTATCCAAGCTAGTTTGCAACAGCTGGCCCACTCGTCTCAAAGTTTGCAATATGCCGGTAAGGATGTCAATAGCTACCGAGTAAAGCGAAATTCCGTTCGTACAAAACCAGAATTATCGTCGCAAAGTTTCAATGAAAGTCGAACATCCAGTCAGTACTTGTCGAAAAGGGGTCTTACATCATCACTTAGCATTGGTAACGTAGTACAGGTGTGAAATTTTGATATCTTTTGCCAGTTTATCAAGAATGTTTCGGCATTTGAAAAGGTTATTGATATAAGTCCTAATTTCAGCATGGCATGCAAACAGCAAATGCAGAAAATGGCGAACAGCGTTTGGTATCAATTTCATTGCAGAGTTTGCCAGGTACTTTCGTGTATTATTGAGTTGTATAAAATTTTTATGCTTTAAGTCTGTTAAATAAAGCTTGGAATACACTCTCACCGAATGAAACTTAAATCGTAAGTTTAATTTATTAAATTTATATTTCGTCAAATTAGTGAAAGATTGCGAATGGTTTCCGTAATCTTTTTAATAAATTGTAATTATAGTCATTAAATTATAGCAAGATCTAGGTCGTTCAATAAGTGCACCATTTGCTGGAGAGAAACTAGTCGGTGGGGTACCGGAGGAAGATCTCACACTGCCACCGAATTGGGCTGTCGAAGTAACACCAGAAGGAATTCGGTCTTTTTTTTTTTGCAATTTTTTTTATTTTAGTAAGTGCAGTAATTCATAATTATGCTTTTGCTTCTGTGGCATTGAGCAGAACGTTTGATTATTCTTTATACTAATTCTTTCCAATATTTCCTTGTAAACAAACACTATCTAATTAAACATATATAATCTTGTTAATCAAGTATATTGACCATATACAGCTTATTCAGAGAACTATTAGATGTTAAAATAATTTTCTGCTTATCTTTCTGTTGTTTGATATATGGATTCATGATATGTTCTTATCCGTTACGATAAGGTATATTTATATGTATTTAGTATTCTTTTGCCACTCTGTTATAGTTATTACGTGGACCACAATAATCGACGGACACATTGGATTCATCCTCTTGTCAAAGAAAATTTGCCATTAGGCTGGACAAAGCAATTTGATTCGATTGATGGAGTAACATATCACAAGTAATATTTCTGGTGACTTTACTTCTACTCTTTGTTGAAATAAGCAAATCTCTAACGTTTCGTTGCACAAATAACATAGGGCTAGGAAAATCGAAGTAAAAAGGAATCTTTTAGTAGATTAGATGGTCGAAAGCAATTGGAGCACCCTGGCTTGGCGACACCTGTAAATTGTACACAGAGTAACTCTACAGCACATTTAACACAGCGTGCTGAAAGTACGATTGA